TTTCGCCAGCATCTGTGGCTAGCATCTTCAGAGAAAAGCATCTTTCTTCAGAGAAAAGCATCTTTCTATTTCCCAGAACTATTGGGAAAATATTACCAATTAACTTAGATATAGATCATAAATTGTATTTATTACATATATGTATAGATCAAGAAGTAGACCGTAAGTACAGGAAACTTCTCTAACTTCTCTTTTATATGACTACTAGCACCAGGATTGTTTTCGCAACTAAAGTGAAACAACTCCACACCAAGAAGATTGGCTGTATAAATTAACTGAACTGATGCGGTTGGACAAAATGGCAACGATGATGAAAGGACATGATTGGGAAAAGAACAAGAAAACTTGGGAACCACTACTTATATATATCGAGGGCAAAAGGAACAAAGCATAAGCTGTTTAAGGAGTAAAATAGTAAGAGATGACTAAGAAATACTTGAGTGCTTATTAATCGGAAGAAAAGATAATAGTGTATATAAATATTGTGTGTTATTATATACATTATTAATAGTTTATAGATAGTTTTATATATATGATGTACATACAGATATATGGTTATAGAGAAGGATATAGTATAGTTTAGTAGTAATCTCAATATAAGAGGAAAGGTGAATAATATAATAGGACATGAACAGGACTTGGTCAAGGATCCAGGAGGTCATTTATGTTTGGTGTTTTTTGTAGTATGTATTCTTTTTCTTCTTTTCTTTTTTCTTTTGTTCTTCTCTTTTTTTTTCTTTCCCCCTCTTTCCCCCCTTCTTTCTTTTCTTTTTTTTTCTCGCCATATGGTGTATATGTTATTATATTTACATGTTATCGTTAGTATACAGTGCACATATGCTGAATGTAAAAGGATGTGTATTTTAATCAAATAAAGTATTTTAAAAATATATTAAAATGTACATTAAAGTAATCACATTAACAGGACAAACAAGTAACAACAGTAGCGGAGAACAGGGAAGGAATGGGCATGTGGTGTCAGTGTTTTTTCCACTCCTCCATCCGGTCTCCCCTTCACAATTCTAGAACAGCCATTGTTGTTGTTTTTTTCTTTCTTTTATGGTTTAAAAACATGACCTTTAAAACCATGGAGTTAGCATAACTCTGGAATTGCATTAGGAAAAGGAACAAACAGAAAACCACACACACAAAAGGCACACTTGGTAGGGCATAGAGCAAGGAGGCAGGGTTAAGAATGAGGGTGGAAGTGTGTGAGGGGTTAGCAACAGCCCAGTCACAGTAATGGGGGTAACATGTGATAGGAAGGCTCCTAAACCAGTAAGCATGCACTTCCCTTCATTAATGCAATCACAGGGATGGCTTGATAAATACCACTGAATTATTATCTTGCTTTCAACCATGGATCGTTCTCAGCACAGAGTCATTACGCCCTTCTTCTTACAGCATTCCTGATCTCTTGACTTGGCCTTCCTTGATCACAGCTCATGGAGACTTGGGGGGTTGCAGACTGCCAGAAATAGTGCAAATTGAGTCCACTTTTAGGGTTAGGGTTAGTGCTAGGGAATCATCGGAACTGTATTTTATTGTGGCACCAGAGCTCTCTGACAGAGAAGGCTCAATGTCTCAGAAAAAAACAACAACAATTCCCATGATTCCCTAGCACTAACCCTAACCCTAAAAGTGGACTCAATTTGCACTATTTCTGGCAGTCTGCAAACCCCCCCCCCTTTTCTATGACTAGCTGGATTCCACTACACTAGAAGAATACTTAAACTCAGAGCAGGACATGATGCAGAATGTGCACACTGAATTTAAAGTTGTGAAAGTGGAGATGTACATGTGGTGTCATTGTTCATTAGGATGCATATACATTAGTTCAAATGGTTGAATGATGTTACCACTCAACAAAAGATTATACAATGCATAGAATCATAATATCATTGAGTTGGAGGAGACTAAAAGGGTCACCCAGTCTAATCCCCTGCCATGCAGGAATATACAATCAAAGCACTCTGAACAGATGGCCATCCAGCTCAAGTTTGAAATCCTCTAAAGGAGATTCTACAGCTCTCTAAGGCAGCATGTCTAACAGCTCTGACTGTCAGGAAGTACTTCCTAATGTTTAGGTGGGATCTCTTTCCCTGTAGTTTGAATCCATTGCTCCATGTCTTTAGTCTCTGGATCAGCAGAAAACAAGCCTGCTCCATCCTCAATATGACATTCCCTCAAATATTTAAACATGCTTATCATGTCAGCTCTTAATCTTCTATTCTCCAGGCTAAACATACACAGCTGCCTAAACCACTCCTTATAGGGAATGGTTTCCAGATCTTTCACCATTTTGGTTGCCCTCCTCTGGATACACTCCGCATGTGGAGATTTGTGCTTCATACTCCCAATATTTTTCTCTTTAGTCTTTAGTGTTGTTTGTCTTTTGTTTACTTTTTTTGTGGGGATCCTTTTGAATTTCCATAAGTATTGTAGGAGTTTAGAAACAAAACCTCTTTGTCAAGAAAGAATATATGAATAAAACAAATGGTGGGAGAAGTAGCTGTTTCCTAGAATCATAGAGTTGGAAGGGATCAAATCCAACCCCCTACTCAATAAATAATCTCAAGCTAGAAAATCCCCAGCAGGCAGCTATCCAGAGAAGGAGACCCCACTATCATTTTAGGCAATTGGTTTCATTACCAAACCACTCTGGCTGTCAAGAACTACCTTCTAATATTTCCTTGACTGAATGCTTGGAAAAATCATGCTTAGCCTGGCTTTAATTTGCCATCAAATGTAAATTATCCCATATACATGGATACCAGAAAACTGATATGATTATAAAAAATTCTACACAATAATTAAAAACACATTTGTTTAGTTAATTCTAAGCCTGATGCATTGTAAATACTAAAGAAACATATAGGTTCAAATAAATTGGATGTAGTTATTGCATGTTCAAAAAATATTCTCCAGCATAGATTAAAGCTAGAGCTTTAAAAAGACATTCCATTAATAGTATGATAATCTTCTATTAATTACACTTCCTTCCTTTCTGTTAAAGTTTCCAGAAAATATAGCCTCTGATATTATTTACAGCATGTGGTAACAGTTTCATCCATCACTATCCACTTCGTTATCACTGGTGTGCATTTATGGAGTTCAGCCAAATACAGCTTGGTTTTGCTTTAGGATCTGTAGAAATGAACCCAATAATTCATGTCCTCTTTGGGTTTGAGGGGAGGTGTGGAAGATGTAGAATGGTGTATATCTATCAATCACAGCTCTCTGTATGCCCCAAGAAACTATTTCACTTGAAAAATCGAATGTTCCGCAACTAGGAAAGTTTAGTTCTGCAAGTATAAGGTGGGCAGAATAGGTTGAGCAAATTACAAAATGCACATTAGAATGTTATTTGTATTCAAGGTATGATTCCCTATCCATAAAGTACAGCACGAGCGAGCTGCTAGGGCACTGTGTGACCTTGTTTAATTTGAGAAAAAACAAACATTTGTGAAGGGTCCAGGTCTTTGGCAAGAGCATTCCTTCCAACATTATACAGCTAAAAGGTAGAGCATGCAGAGCTTAACATCAAAATGTGACCAAAAAAGTGTGGACAGTCAGATGAGGTCAAAAGTTGTTAATAGGGAAGAGTACACAAAACTGCTATTTTAAGCACAGAATCCTTCAAATTAATCTATGAATTTGGGAAAGCTTGAAAAAAGAAAAAGGCCAAATCAACAAAGTCAATGGCTGGAATACAGATGTTGTTGTGTGCCATCAAGTTATTTCCAATTTATAGTGATCCTAAGACGAACCTATCACAGGGGTTTCTTAGCAAGAGGGGACATGGCATTGCCATCCTTTGATGCCTAGACAATGGACTTGCCTAAGGTCACCCAGTGGGTTTACATGGCTGAACTGGGACTCAAACACTGGTCTTCAGAGTCATAGTCCAATGCTCAAACCACTATACTATGCTGGCTCTCTGGGCCATTACAAATGTGCAGCTACTATAATTATGGAGTGACACAATGAAATCCAGTCTACCCATCCCCAATTTCCACTTACTGGGATAAAGCTATTATGATCAACAGAGGTCCATTCCACTATCACTCAGGAAGTACCTGACAGATGCTCCCAACTCCTCTTGTGAGTGATCTCCTTTGATACAGGCAGAAAAAGGGTCCTTGTTGCAAATTTCCCACATCCCAGAGATCACTTACATTCTGGAGGAGATGATAGTGGTAACTAAAGTTGGGGAACTGTCATACTTCCTATGCATCCCCTAAAGTATGGGCTACATAGGAATCATGAATGCTATACAGATAAAAAATGCATAACTCCTGGTAATACATTTCTAACTCCTCAACAGGATTGTGGACATCAGGACTGATGGTGGGAGACATATATATTCAAAGCAGAAATGACTATGAAATAATGATCCCATTTTAGGAAAATACAGAGGAAATATGAAATGTTTGGAGGATTTCTTTCTGTCTCTGTGTATGCATGGTGCTCAGTTCTTGAGGGTGCTTGCAATCTGAAAGATGATAGAATCGTTTCCAAATGAGATTTGTGCCTCCTATTAAGAGCAAAACTCTGCCCTCTCTTCTCTGCTGGAGTAGGAAGAGAGGGTGCCTCCTATTGGACCAATCGAATATTTGAAGTTTGCAGCAGCTTCAGTTCTTTGTTTAGAAGACAGAGAGAGAGAAAAAACATCTTATGGCTGAAGAACCTGGGGCATATTAAAACAAAGTTGGAAGGCAAAGGAGTAGCTATGGACATCCCCATAGTATGCAACAGTGATCTGTCCCTGCCTAAAACAGAGAAAGGGGGGGGGGGGGGGAGAAAGAGAGAAATGGCTGTCTGAAAGGGAGAGTGCAAAGGGATGGGCCCACTCAGAGACTTATCGCACCATCAAAAAAACCCACCTGCTCCCCATCGGGATACAGCTGGGTGCCAGGATGAAGGTGGTTATTAGTGCATGCAAGTCACTGCTGATTCCACCAGGCAGCTGCATCCTGGGTCCCAGGCACATTTTGGAGGCCTTTTTTTTCACAGTCAGGAGCTTGCCGTCTTTGAAAAAAGGCCTCCAAAGTGAGCCTGGGATCTGGGATGCAGCCGCCTGTGGAATTGACAGTGACTTGCATGCCGTAATACCCACCTGCATCCTGCCACTCGTCTGTATTCTGTTGGGGAGCAGCTAAGTTTTTTGACAGTGCGATAAGACTCCCAGTTTTACTTTGACTGGTTTCAGTTCCACTCACTGTCAGGATGCAGTCTGTTGCAAATTACTTCAAGGGAATATGGCCCTCAACAGAAAAAAAGGCTGTCTTTACCTGATTTAAAGTTATTTTCTCACATGACCTTCAATGTACTGTTCTCTTGCTACAGGGATTAGGGGTCTGGTTATTGATCCATTGTATGTTTGGCAGTGTAATAATCCTATGCATGTTAGTCAATTTAGAAGTAAGAATGATTGGCTTAAAATCCAACTATAAGTGGAACAGGAACACTGAACCCATCAAAACATTGTTTTTAGGCTGTTCAATTCCAGAACTTACATCTGAATCCATCTTGGATCTGAATCCAGCCCACTGCATATGGTGACTCATTTTACATTTGTCTCTGAAGATAAACATGCTAAGACGCATTAGACAGATAAAGATTCTATCTCTGTCTCTGTCTCAAACAAACATCCATTGATTCCTGATTCCAATTTTACTCACTAGCATATTTTTAATACTTGAGTGCTTTCTTACAAATATGGAGAATACAGTCCTCTGCACAATTTCTTTGGGATACACCTGATGGGGCTTCACATTTAAATTAACATGCATGGGGTTAATTTATCAGATTCTTTTATTAAAAGGTTACTTTCTGAAATCAGTTTTTGCACTAGGATTCCAAGTTTCTAATCCAAAGGTCTATTTGCAGACTACCAGAAACAGTGCAAACTGAGCCCACTTTAACTGCCCTGACTCAGTGCTAGGGAATCATGGGAACTGTAGTTTATTGTGGCACCAGAGATCTCTGACAGAAATGCTCAATGTATCAGAAAAAAATACAATTCCCATGATTCCCTAGCACTGAGCCAGGGCAGTTAAAGTGGACTCAATTTGCACTATTTCTAGTAGTCTGCAAAGGCCCTGAGCATCCTTATAGATCCAAGAGAACGTATTATGTTTTCATGTAACAGCATTTCAGCTTCCCTCCTCCCTTCATCTCTGGAAAGCTGTTACTGCATTTTTTTCTGCCACCGAAAAAATCTGTGATTTAAGACCTAATCTTTGCCTCATTGAAATAATGCACATTATGCCATTGAGAGTACAAGCAGATCCATAAATAGGATTTATTTATTACACAAAGTAAAGGGCAAAAACAGGAAAGTTCATACTACAGATAATTTGTAACAAGAAAAAAAGAAGATTCCTGAGGCTTGAAAAATAAAATGCCTTTTACTCTAGAGTTTAATCTATCTGTTTTTCAGAGCCTCTGGCTGTCTTCATTTTATGTCTAACCTGGGATATCATCACTCAGTTCTGGGTTGCATAAAGAGTGCTAGAAGGATTTTGGCTATTTTTCATCAAAAATTCTTTAATGGCTGAGTCATAGGTTTGTAGAGGCTTTAAGGGTTTAATTAAACTCAAAGATTCTGAAATGTATGTTATAGATCTCTTTGATCTGCTCATAAGACAAAAAAAATCAAATCTAAGCAGTCAATAAAGGCCATGCTCAGAGCTGATGTTAGCAGCTGCTACAGCTGCTCCTAAAGTCTTGGAAAATAAGCAAAGATGAAACTTGGGCAGGGGAAAAAAACATTTATGGAGTCAACGCCTTGGACATACCTTGCAACTTATAAAGATGAGCTGCTTTTATCACTAAAAAAATCTTTTTAAGAAGTATTCTTTCTCTTGCTTCCACCAGTCTCTGGGTGAGGAGATGAGAGAGAGACTTCTCAGTGGCTTTTCCCACCCTCTGGAATTCCCTCCTTATTTTCTTTTCACCAACAGGCAAAAAACTTTTTGTTTAAGTAGGCTTTTAATATGTAATCACTCACAAGGAGGCTTATTGAAGTGTGTGCTTTATTATTATTATTTAAAAAAAACTTTTGTATGCTCTTAAAATAATTTAATTGGCACACACACACACACATACACAAGTTTGCTTGGGTTAAAAACCCATTTAGTCCCACCCTCATGCCATGCACACCCTCTTCTCTCCCCCAGTCTGACACCCCACCACCACCAGCTCTTTTTTTTCTCTCTATCCTAGCGAGAGATCCACCCCGTAGCAATTTTGTCTGGACTATAGTTCTTTGTCCTCCTCATCTGAGTGTGATTTGTGTTCTCCTTTTCCCTGACAGCTTTTGATATATTAGGCAGATCTCTTCATTATAATGCAGTTCATTATAATAAAAAACGGTGGCAAAAAGTGGGATCATAATGCATAAAATTCCATCCCCACCCCCAAACTCTCTACCTGCAGGGATAATAATACCGACTCATCTTGCTGAGCTAATATCTGTGAAGAGCTTCAAATCTTTTAAATTTGTGATCAGCAATGACACAGATAATGATAATTATACGAGTAAGTGACTGCATCAACCAGGATCTGATGAATCTGTTTTTGCAGAACTTCTCTGTTTTAGGAGCTTCAGAGAACTATGTCTCATATGGATATAGACATCGCCAGGGTTTATGAATATCTGGCTTGAGTCTGAACTACTTGAAATGGTGAAATACTTTATTCCTTATCTTAGTAGTGCAACAACACTTAACAGTGTAGAGTTAAATCTGACTCTATGGAATAGAGGATATGGGGGCATGAGTTGCTAAATCTTATTTGTACAATTTTTACTGATCAAAGCTAAGGACAAAACATACATGTCTGGATATGTGAGAGATAGCAGTGGATCTCTGAAACAGAGTAATCAATTGGCCAGGCAGAACCTGAACAACCAGTCCCATGCCCATTCCTAGTCACAGTGTCTAGCAGAGAAAGGTCTTTTTTGTAAAACTTATAAAGTAGCTTTAATTACTAATTACCTGTTCATACTCAAACACATGGTCTAATGGAGGAGAGAGAGGGAATAGACAGAAGAAAGGCTATAGGTTAGAACAGGCTATAGGTTAGAGCAACCTTTCCCCTTTAAGGGCCGAGGGACTTCAACTCCCAGAATCCCAGGAGCTATTGGTCAACATGGGACTATTGGCCAACATGGCTGAGGCTTCTGGGAGCTGAAGTCCCTCGGCCCTTAAAGGGGAAAAGTTGCCTACCCCTGGGTTAGAGTGATGCAAGAAGAGTGTGAGTGTGGTTGTATTATTATTATTATTATTATTATTATTATTATTATTATTATTCCACCTTTCCCCTTGGTAAAGGGACTCAAGGCAGCTAACAAAATTTAAAACAGTAAATTTAATTAAAATTAATAACAATACAAAACATTAAAGTGTAACTACAAATTTTTAAAAAACAGACACTTTTCTAAAGTTAAAACATTACACAATAAAATTAAAAATATATTTAAAAATGCATACAGAACTCTATACAAACCTTGCACATCATTTAAAGTCGAATCCTTATCAGTCTGAGAAAGCCTGGTGGTATAAGAATGCTTTTATCTGCCACTGAAAGGAGACCCAGGATGGAGCCAGGGAGCAGCCACTGAGAAGGACCTCTCTCTTGTTCCCTCCAAATGAGCCTGAGAGGGTGGTGGGACAGAGAGGAGGGCCTCTCCTGGTGATCACAGTGCTCTTGTAGGTTGATAAAAGGAGATACCTAGACCTAAGCCATATAGGGCTTTAGAGGTCAAAGGCAGTACTTTGAATTGTGCTCAGAATGAAGTACTCCCAAACTGCAAACTTGAGTTTTCAGGGTGGGTGTAATTAGTATAGGCTGGTAGAACAAGCAAACAGTAAATTACTATAATGCAACCTATAAATTAGTGAGGATATCCTCACTAATTTTAGAGGGGGT